CGGGGGAACCAGGACTTTTCTGCCAGAGGGTTCTGGGTTGGAGTCCCCGGGGGAACCAGGACCAGAGGGTCTGGGTTGGAGTCCCGGGGGAACCAGGACCTTTCTGGGTGGAGTCTGCATGTTCTCCTGTGTCTGTGGGTTCTCTCCGGGTTCTCCGGCTTCCTCCCACCGTCCAAAAACCTGCATGTTAGGTTTAAAAATAGTGAAATTAATCTTGCAAACACTGAATTAAACTCTATCCATAATATTATGTTAAAATAGTGGATGTTAAATAGATTTGTACAATAAGTCCAAACAAGTTTAAACAAAAAATATTTATTTCTCACAATTATGAAGGATGGAGGGTTAGGGTTAGGGTTAGGGTTATAGTCAGGGTAAGGGTTAGGGTCAGGGTTAGGGTTAGGGTTAGGGTTAGGGTTAGGGTCATTAATGTGGGCCACTGGCCACCATAACATCAGTAATAGGTCAGTTTGAAACTAAAGACACTAACCTGTCAAAATTCAGTTACATTTTGGGTTCTTTTCCTGAGTATCGATATCGAGTTAAACATTTTTTAGTATCGTTCCAACCCTACTTTGTGAACCATTCCCCTGTCCACACTTCCTCTCATAGCTCATAGATGTAATCCTGTATCTATGTCTGGGAACGGGAATATCTGCAGGAGAACGTGGCAGCAGCTGAGGGCCATGTGGGCACAGACCGAGTGGGAGGTTTTGTTCTTGTGTAGTTTTTCACCCTCTCTGTCTGTCTCCCTTTTTTTTCCCACTCCGGACGCGTCTCTTTGTATGCGTGCCGTGTGTTTGTTTTGCACACGCGTGTGCGTGGAAGTGTGAACGCGGTGGGCGGCGTTCTGGCAGCCTGCTGAATGAGACGATCACAGCCCTCCGCAGCCGATATCTCAGAAAACATTTATTACTCATTATTTATTAATAAATGACATCATAGCCGAGCTGCAGACAAACCAGGTCTCATTCATACGCGCTTTCATTCACGGAGGATTAGTTTTTTCCAAGAATTATCTTTTGAATTTGACTCCCACACGTGCGCGCCTGAATCTCTACGTGCGCACCTTTGTTCATTTGTACATTCGGATCTATATTTTTTTAAAATTGTTCATTTGTACATTCGGATCTATATTTTTTAAAAATTGTTCATTTGTATATTCGGATCTATATTTTTATAGATTTTTCATTTGTACATTCGGATCTATATTTTTAAAGATTTTTCATTTGTACATTCGGATCTATATTTTTATAAATTTTTCATTTGTACATTCGGATCTATATTTTTATAGATTTTTCAATTGTACATTCAGATCTATATTTTTAAAGATTGTCGTTTTCAGTTTTATCATTCCTGTCCTATATTTTTATTTCTACATTTTATTTCTTGCTTCTCATAGAAGTGTTGTGTTTTGCACCAAACACCAAGGCAAATTCCTTGTAAGTCCAAAAACCTACTTGGCAATAAACCTTATTCTGATTCTGATTCTGATTCTGATTCTGAATCTGCAGAGGAAGACACACAGATCCCTGCTCACACACTTGTGTGTGGCCTATTTGGCCTGGTGTCACCCTGTTTCCGACCTCTGACCCAAAGGCCTCTCCTTTTTTCATGGAGACCTCACCACTGTCCGACTGAGAGGGATCGGTTTGTGTCCTTCTGATAGCTATACGGCTGCAGAGCGATGAGTCACAGCGTATATGTGCAGAGGGGAGGAAGAGGAGGAGGAGGAGGAGGAGGGAGGGTTGCTTTCTTCTTTTGTGAGTCCTCCGTACAAGCTTGTTTGTGTTTGTGCTGATTGACTTCCAGGGAAGTGACGCTGTGATCCGCCGGGGCTCAAAAGGCTTCCTATTATCATTCAGAATCGTGTTAGCATGGTTTGGAAACAGTCGCAAACAGATCCATTAAGTTTTGGTTTGGGTCGACAGCTTTTTTTTTTCCGTGCATGACGACATAGCGCAGAGCCTTTTGTGACTTAAAAAAAAAGCCTGCAGGTCCATCCGATGGCTCTAAATAGTGGTTTGCCATCATGGAAATTAGCTGTGTTCGTTCTCGGAATCGCCCATTCACAGACATCAAAACTCGGCGTGTCACAAATCTGCTGTTATGTCATTCGTCCCTACATAATTCACAATCGGACGACTATCGAAAGCCTTAAAAAAAACCAAAAAAAAGCCGCCATCTCCATTCCCAAACGCGGACAGACAGAAGAGCCTGTTTGGGGAAGGTGAGCGGCTCCGTGAGGCATTCAGGGCCAGCCTTTACCGTGCGTCACCGATGTGGCAACAGCCATTTGAGGGGTAATTATGGGATGGCTGGCGCCGGCAGAGTGGGACCCAGGTGCAGATAGCCTCAGCTCCACTCAGAGCCAGAGAGAGGAGGAGAGAAGATCTGTTCCCTCTACAGAGGGATGACTCACTCTCTCCACCCCTCCAACTCTCTCTGTTTCCTTCCCCTGCTTCCACCTCTCCTTCTCCTCTGCTCACATATCGTTTGCTTTTCTGCACGGATCCTTCCCTCTGTCACTCTGTTCCCAAATGTTAGATAAACCACAGTGCTTTTATTTCCCAATCACATTTTATAAATCAGGGTGCAAAGATTAGGACGGAAATTATTAGACAGTGCACATCTGTTAGTTCAACAAAGCAGAATTATTTTCTCATTTTCTCTGTCTGTCCTTTCATTAGCAAAGCTAATAATAGCATTGTGTGCGCGGGTAAAGGAGGAGGTGGGGAGCATTGTGCTAGGAAGTCATTGGAAATTAGCAGAAATAGCTCCGTTTCTTGAACCAGACTTGCTTTCAGGTCACGGCACATTCAGTGTAGCGTGCAAGCGTGTAAATGTGTGAGTATTGTTCATCTACACGGTGTGTGTGTGTGTGTGTGTGTGTCTGTCCATCTGTCGCTGCCAGATTAGGGCTAAAGGAAGGATGCCCTTAGCGCTCGTCCTAATTTAACCCTATAATGCCAAATGTATCATATTTGATACGGTCTCTAAAGTCTTTTGGATCTGAGACTTTTTGCATCATTCAATGATAAAAGCTTTGCTCAAACCCCTGTTGTACACATTCAGATATACCTGATAACAGCCAGTAGAAGACTAGACCGAAATACATTTTTGACTTATTGCACGCTAATTTTATCCAAATAATTTCAGTTTTTTTCTCTTCATATGTTTTTGAGGGGACAAAGAAAGACTTAAGACAAAAAAAAATCCAATAGTCCTCCTATTTTTCTTGGATCGGGCTTTAAAGAGTTAACGTGGAACTAAAGCCCTTTGATGGTGATGGTGGAGCAAAACTGACTCAAAACTGACTCTCTCAGATCCCAGTCAACCTGACGTGATTTAAACTCTCTCTCCACAGGAAACACGTGAGGTTGGAGAGCCTGGAGGACTGCCGCGTGCTGGAAAACCCCGGCAGCGACTCCATGTCGGACACCCACGGGTGCCCGGCCTACGTGAGCCCGGAGATCCTGAGCGGCGCGGCGCCGTACTCCGGCAAGATGGCCGACATGTGGAGCCTGGGCGTGATGCTGTACACCATGCTGGCGGGCCGCTACCCGTTCCACGACCCGGACCCGGCCGCGCTCTTCTCCAAGATCCGGCGGGGCCAGTGCTGCCTGCCGGAGGGCCTGTCCCCGGGGGCCCGCTGCCTGCTCCAGAGCCTGCTGAGGAAGGAGCCCCCGGAGAGACTGACCGCCGCCGAGCTGCTCGCCCACCCCTGGTTCCGCCCGCCGCCGCCCGTCTCCCGGGAAACGGCGCCGGGCGAACAGGAAGCGAGCTCCCCGGAACAGACGGTGCCCTCCTTCGACGCGGAGGAGGAGGACGACGAGGACCCGTTCTGCTGATGGACGGACTCCGTTTTTTCAGAGTCCGACTGAGGGACCAAAACAAAAGTTTGCTTCGGGTTTTTTCTCGTTTTTGTTTTTTGTTTTGTACATTGGCACTTTTTTTTTAGAAAAACCCGTTTGTGTACTGTCGTGTGTACATACACCCCCTCAAGTTTCTACAAAAACTAACAGTACTGTATTTTGTTTGTCATATATATGTTACTTGCTAAGGGCATTGTTCACGACGGGCAATCATCGTGTTTCTATATATGTTCATCCAAGGAAAAGAAGAAGAAAAAAATCATTTGGTGCTAAAAAAAAGAAGAGAAATCCGCCTAAAAGAATTTGCCAGATACCATTAACTCATTGGCTGCCAAAGACATCTATAGACGTCTTTTATGTTTTTCAACGCGAGTGGCTTGGGGGACAATCGGCTGAAGTTTTTCCGTAAATATCGGCTTCCAGACAGAGTATGGACTAACAAATTTACCCTCTAGGTGGCAATGCCACTTTTGATGGGAGATGAGCATAGACTGTAGGCAAATAAGAAAAACGCAATGGTTCGCTATGCGAAAAATGGCGCCGGTGAGACACAAGTCAAGGAAGAACGGAATAAGGTAGAAACTTTTTTTTTTTCCTGAAGAAAGAAGAGAGTCTACTCTTTCTTTTGGTGTGTTCGGTGTTTACATAGTCATAGCACAAACTATTCTGTGGCTCTTGAAAAATCAGTCAAAATGCTCAAAAAACTCTGGCAGTATGGGACTCTGTTCTGAAAATGGCTGGCAGTCAATGAGTTAACAGGATCGAGAAACTGCAGGTTTCTTCGACTGCATCACAGTAAGCTAACCTAATCGGTGATGACCGCCTGCTCTCAGCTCAATACTCCCGACGCTTCAGAAAGACCAGGATGTTGTGCCTCTCACCTTCTGACCAGGCTTCGGGCCACTTAGGCTGACTCACCCGGGCCTAACGACGGTTAGCGGAGGCCTGATGTGTCACGCTCACTACGGAGACGCCTCACCGCCAATCTGGCAACGTCTCCGTAAACGGATTGCATTTACAAACCTCGCACCATGTGCCTGAGGTTGAGAAAAGGCTGGGCCATGCTGGTGCAAGAAAAATGTGACAAGCTAGTCACACGTAGTCAACAACTCATAGTGACACCAGGCTTGCTCAAGTTCTTGCGAACGGCTGAACAGAGGAACGAAATGTTCTCCTTGTTGTAGCCGCTTTAGCTCAGCTTTTGGGACTAAAACAGAGGCTCAGCAAAGCTGCTCAGCAAAGTCTGAGTTCATGTCTGTGTGCGAAAAGCCACGGCTGAACGGGACCTGAACGCACCACCGGCTGATCACTGTGAAACGCTACCGAAAGCAACACATGGGGAGAAAAAACAAAAAAACAAAACCACAAACACACTGAACCGAGACGTTGCTCTTCACACAGGGAACGCAGCCTTTTTTTGGGGTCACAAACTCAGACTGAGGACAGAAAGTTAGAAGAATTCAATTCAATTCAATTTTATTTATATAAAATGCGCCACATCACAACAACAGTTATCTCACAGCGCTTTCCAAACAGAGCAGGTCAGACCCTACTCTGAAGTTAATTACAGAAACCCAACAATTCCCACCATGGGCAAGCACTAGGCGACACAGGCAAGGAAAAACTTCCTTTTAACAGGCAGAAACCTGGAGCAGAACCATGGCTCAGGGTGGGCGGCCATTTTCCTCGGCCTGTTGGGGGTGAGAAGAAGACCCAGAAACTCTCTCAGTGGAGGATTAGAACTTTTTTTGGCTCATTTCGTAGCGTCAGGGTGCCATTAAGAGCTGAGAACCGGGCCCGGAAAACTGCGTTTCATAATCTGGATGAGTCTTAGATGTCGACTTGTCTGTTTATGACTCAACGCTCGAGCGTGTCTGGAGAGATTCGTTCTGACCTCGGTTGGAAGAATCTTAACTTCTTGAACGGTACGTTTTTTACCTTTTTCACCTTTTTCCCCCAAGTCTTTTTTCTTCGGATTCACGGAGACATGATGTGTCCACCTCTGAAACAGGATACGTCTCACACAGGGATGCAGAGTTACAGAGTTTGTGTTGCTCTGATACAGAAACGTCGACAATGCTACTAAATCGGCTAAATCGGCTACGGGATTATTACGACGTCTCCTCTTTTTTGAAGAGAATTGTGACGATTTTCTCGCAGAAAAAGTAATTTAAGAGATTCATGATTTAGTCACTGGTTCATGCTTGTAGAGTGAGTCATGCGTTCATGTGATAAAGTGTAGAGTAAACTGACACGGGTGCACAATCCTAATATTGCACTGTGAAGTACGTTTTCGTGACACGACCTAAAGGCTCTAGTCAGCCCCGACAGGTTCCACAAAGAGATATATTCATCCTCGAAAATGTGTAAATATGTATATTTGAATATATGTGTGGAGTAGTTGAATAAAGATCACAATTTTTCATTTTCACTCTGCCTTTTTTTTTCTTTCTTTTTCTTTTTTTTTAGTCCACACCGTGCAAACACCTGCACAGGTCCCCCCCGGAAAAAAAAAACTCCCATCTGTTCATCAAAATGTAATTATTTTTTTCAGTTTCCAGCGCTTTCAGTTTGATCCTGGAGGCAGAAAAACACACACACACCCTCCCCAACCTCGCTCCCTCTCATCCTCTCAGCGCTTACTCTTCTCTGACCTTTGTGTAATTTAACATTTAACTCCTCAAACACACAAAATGTCAATAGCGGGTCAACGTCTCTTCCTGGAATACGGCGGGGGGAAGCAGGAGCGCCCTCCTCGGCCTTTTTTGCCTCCGTTTCAGCGCCAATCGCAAGCCGCAAACCCCTCAATAAAAACACCGTTTCGACTCGGATTTATTCCCCTTTTCGGATCCAGTCCACTTCTACCGGTGAATCATTTGTTTGACCTATGAGAGCTTGGCATGTCTCCACCCTCGGCGTGTTATGACTACCCGAGGCTCGACTGGCCGGGGCTTGCGTAAGCGTTGTGTTGTGTGCGTTCCTGTGCATTTTTTTGCTAGTGTGTGTGTGTGTGTGTGTGTGTGTGTGAGTGAGCTCAAGAGTCAGATTAGGTATCAACAGGGTAGCTGGAGTGTCTTGGCTGCTGGGAAAGTGCCAAGCCAACTATTGCCTAAGACATCAGAGCGGGGGCTCCACCTCAAGGAATGACTGTCGGGCTCCTGAGAAGTCGGTTAAACTAGAGGTTAAAATAACGAATATATCAAGAACGTAAATGGATTTGGACATATATGTCTGGAATAGGTGTTTTTTTCTGTTTTTTAGGTAATATTTGTAGTTAAGAGAGAGTTGAGATCCAAGAACCATTTAGGGTTTTTGTCTTTTAAAAGAAGATTTATGTCTGGAAAACAGCTATAAGGGAATTCTTGAATCTCATTCTCAAAAAGAAAGGGAATAATTATCTCTACTGAGATGAGGTTTGAGAAAAGGCTTTCGTAGTAAACAGTGAAACCAGGTGTTGTGAAATCTTCTCAGGTACTGAATGAGCTCTGAGCCACAAGTGTAAACTTTATCCTCGCTTTTGGTCCGGGATCAACACGGTTTCCCAACCGTGAAACCCTTCAAACAGACCTCAGGAACCTCCGCTCGCGATGCTTTCAAGTCCTCAGTCATCACACTCGGAAAATTGGGAATTTCAGGAAGCAAACTTACAATTCAGAGGTTTGCTAATGGTTGTTTCATGGGAGGTTAAAGGCCATCAGCATTTGGATTTTTACCCTTTTAATCCATTCTCGGATCTCAGACTCTCCCCGGAGGGTAAAGTGAAAGTCGAACCAGTAGAATTGTGTAATAGGACCTTCACCTTGTCTCAGGTATCCACAAAAGGAAGTGAAGAAATAGCTGTGACCGTGGAGCACCTGCTAATATCTGAGTTGAGAGTTTTGTGGCCTTTCCAGGAACCTGTTGGCTCTGGCCGTCCCTCCCGTGATGCAATGGAAACAGCCCCCGCTGGCCGAGTGTCTCTTTGACCTGATTTATTCCGTGAAGTAAATCCGGGTAGGAATGCCGTGCCGAGGATAGTTCAGGGTGGGGAGTGGACGATCATGAGAAGAATGGTGTTCTCACCTTCCATCATCTTAAATCATAAAAAGGCCTACCTGGAATACTTGAGAGGGGAATCAAAATATGATCTCTGCTGCTGGCATGTGGAAAAAATGTGAACTACAACTGTCACAAACGGCTCAAAATCATCAAGTTGAAATGCTGAAGTTGTGAAATTGGGTATTTGAGGGTTTTTTCTCGATATTTCTTCAGTTTGAAATCAGCCATGAAACACAGGAAAAGTCAAACAACACACAGAAACATAATTAAGTTAAAGTTAGCAAACAACTGGTTAACTTGGACTTAGAAGAACCAGAAAAAAGAGTTCAGGATTGGGCCTTTCATGATCCAGATCATCAGATGGCATCCAAAAAGAGCACAAGTCTGCTTTGAAATTCACTCAGTAAAAAAGTTTTGAAAACTACTGGAGGATATGATAAGGAAATAGGTCAAAACAAAAAAAATTTAAATAAGTATTAGAAAATCTAGGCTTCAATGTCCTTCAGGCTAAAGAGGAGGGGGATGTGAATGGACAATTAATGAAAAACAAGAGGAAAAATCTTTTTCTTTTTTAAAATTTCAAGACCAATCAGTTCTGCTAAAATGTTCCTACACTCAACGATATTTTCACACATAGACGACTGCATCACAACATACTCACTCACTGGAGACACAACTTTAAAACCAATAGAAATATTATTAAAAAAATCTTTAAAAATATTTGATCAAAAGCCCCTGTCATTCCATCAGTGTAATATTTAGGAAAAAATATAACATGCTCAGTTTTTAAAACTTTATTCATTATAAAAATAGTTGTTTAATTTACAAAATTCTGAATGGATTAGCCCCACCTCCACTTTCTACCTACATTAAACATCAGGGAAGGTCCCACTTTTTTACACATTTAAAAAGCACCTTAAACTGTTTCTCAAATGTTC